TACAGTTTTTTTAAGAAAACAAGTTTCGATTACTAGCATATGTTGATGATATCAGTGATAAATAAAAACTGCCGTTTCCACCAGTCTCGTCAATGTATAGAACAATAATAAAATTATAGGTTAAAATACTTAAGCATTAAGCCAAATCGGTGAGAACGACAATGAGATTTTTGAAAATGTCTTAGGTAAATTTAATAGTGTTTTTCAGTATTTTATTGGCCACTCAATGCTTTTACCAGTTTGTTAAATGCCATCTAAAGAAATCTCGTTATGCAAATTTTTCTATCACATATGAAAAACAATTTGATCGTGGAAAAATAAAAAAGATAAATTGGAAGGTCATTTAAGAATAGTAAGATCACTAAGATAATTAATTATATGTTAGAATAATAATACTCTTTAAAATAATACCAAGCGCAGTCAGCTTAATAAAATGCATTATGTAACTTTATTGCATTGTGCAACGCAATTCATTTCGGACTTTGATACTCTATTATTATGTATCAGTGAATCTTAGAAAACATTGGTTTGATAATCATCGACCATTCATCAATCGCCATAACCAATACTAATAGAGTAACACAAAATGAAATGATTGCATTACATATAAATTTGTATATTTGCTTATGAATTTTAGTTATATGTAGATTTATTTAGATCTGATGGGAAGAGGTGGGTATGTATACTAAGCTTCCAATTGTTTTGTGTGTTTCATATCAAGTAGTATGGGAGAGGAAAATTGTATAACATTGTCAAAGCTTAAGCAAATATTTTAGAGAAATTGTGCCTCTAAATTTAATAGACAATTTGTTTTGCCACAACGTTCAAAACCTGATCAGCATTGGGCTTAAGAACACAATTTAGTTTCAATATATACATAAGCATTTCTTTGCCTGCAATTAAGAAGTCGTCATAACTAATACATCAGAGTTTGTGTTGCTAAAACAATAATTATTATTTCAATAAAAAAAAAATGTTTAATTATATATTTTCTGCGACATGAGTGGATTTTAATTTGCAATCATTAAAATTCGTCTTTAATATTATTATATGCACATCAGTCACCATATGTACTGTACTCAAATTGGCGATAAGTGAACTTAAAATTCTCATAATTTATAAAAGTCACTAATAATTATTAATTTATGACGCACATTATGTTATAATTCATCTGCCTTACATAACCAGTATGATTGTTGTTTTATAATAAAAATGTGAGTTTTACGACTAAACTTCGCGGTCAGTTTTTCAATAAAATCAATTACATAACAGTTATAGTTTTACAAATATATTATTACACACACCGAGTTGAATCGTCAACTGGTTTAGGACATAATATTTATACGCCAGAGTATTTTGTAGGGTTACAATATATTTGTAATATAATAATGTTATACTTATTTAGTTTTATAAAATGGTGAAATTATACACTGAACGGCATATTCCATCTAAAATTTCCCATGCTTAGTTATTAGTCTGTATATTCTAATCGGCTCGCTGTAATTTATGTGATTTCGCAGCTTAAACGTGTTGTATGCAATTTTAATCATTAGCCATATTACATACTACATATCATAATATACACTATGATAGGTATGTACATTAGGTTTAGACGGCATAAAATCTATATCTATAAAGCCTACTACCTGATAGTAGTACTATATTATTAATAAATTGCGTAGATCGAATTTAATTATTCGGATATAATAAATGTATTTTATAATGCATGCATTTGAATATTTATATTATATAACTTGAGAATCTCAACTGAAAAAAATTAAAAGTTTCAGTTAAAGTTGATTAACAGGTTTTTAATATTAAGTATTTGGTAGTACAATGTGATTGTGATAATTTTACAATTCAAATTAATTAAGCATTTTGACGCCTCCGTCCTTGTGCAGGCCGGCCACTTTCGTGGGTCACATTGAAATAGACATAATTGGCAAAAGAACGCAAACGTTGAGTCGGTATTCTTCCATAGGGTTTTTGACAGCACGCAGAACCGTCACGTATTCACGTTGCTCCTTTCCCGTTAGGAACGCGTACACATATGGTAATGGGGTATCTTATCCATCCACCCGGTTTCGCTGACGTAAGCCGATGATCGTAAACAGCTGCGTGAATATAGTTGGACTCACTTTGAATGTTCCGTCGACAAACCATACAGGACTTCGGCATAATAGCTCAATATTATTTTTCTGGGTCGCAAATACTATAACATCCTCGGTTCATTGTCGACTTTGATAATTTGCGCCATTGTTTTAATTTTGATTGTTAAACATGGTAACTAAATTGCTAAGTACTTATACGTAATACGCGTAAACGATGTATGGAATTTTGGGCACCTCCAAAATAAAATCCTTGATCCACCACTGTGCACTGGCAGTAACTAATCTGGCAGCACAGGGAAACGTTTTGTGTCGTCGGGAAATTGTTTTGTCGAAAAAATGGATCCGGGGAAAAAAATTTCGGGAAAATAGTATTAAGAGAATGAGGTTTCGGGAATGTGTACCAGAACCATTTTCCACAAATATATTAGCGACGCATTGTACTGTAAACTTTACCAACCATAGCCGGTTCTGGTCGGTAAACTCTACAATACGAGTCGCCAGTGTATTTGATGAAAATGTTACATAACACACAGACACGTATAGAGAAGTCACTTTTAAAGATATTTGTCTATTTCTAGTTTTTTATACAATTAACATTTAGGGCATAAATAGTAAAACAATATTAATAGTAACTAGTATCTAGTTACTAGTATAACAAAATTGTATATAGCCTAAAATAGTAAAATTTTAACAACAGTTATCACAAAACTAAAATTTGGCGTGATTAAAAATTTTTACTATAGTAACAAGACAATGCGAGAAAGTTAGATAATCTTAATTTGTCTATGTTTATTGTTTATTTATTACTATATAGCTTTATTTATTATCATAACATTTTTTTATTCGAAATTAGAAAATCCAACCAATCAGTACTATAATATATCTGAAATTTCAAGGTAATATTGATAATATATTTACCTAAAACAATGTTATTTCTTAATTTGCGTTTAATAAACGTTTAAATCCCACTGAAAAATTGGTATGTATTTTTTTACATAGAGCATACAATTAAAAACTCTTGTGTATAAATACAATTTACAGTAATAATAATAACTGATTAAATGTAAATGTTTAATTCTCACTTATATTCTTATCAAACATACAAAAATAGTACCTAATAATACTATAGGTATTACTAATAATAGTAATAATAATTAATACCTAACATTTTTTTAAAAATGATATTAAAATTATTTAAATAAGTATTTCATATAGTTCAACTTAATTGTAACTCCTCTATACTTGTAATAACTAAAATACCTATATCTTCAAGAATTGTACATTGATTATGCTAGCTTGTAAGATGAGTACTTATAATTTGTATATTTGTACATATTAAGCAAGGTTTCAGATAAAGTTCCGCTTGTGTCATAACTCATAAGTATAATAATAAGTTTTGTAAGCGCCTGTCTAAGGACACAGCTTTTAATCACTTAAATAAGTATAAAAAAAAATACATAAGTTATTTACTACATTTGTATTTGTTTTGCATACAAATATAATAAGACGTGTTTGTAACTACATTGCATGGACACGTCACAATATGTATTCAGTTTTGTCACTTTGTAATTTGTTTGAACACAATAAGTAATTTAAAAATGTTTTAACTAATTTTCAGTACAAATCGTTTAATTCATTTGTATTAATTAATAATTTCCCTTATACCTATAAAAAAAAATAAAAGATACTTCAAATTGTATTCATTAGATTATATCATTGTATGATCTCATACATTTTTAAGTAATAATTTTGATATATTATTAAAGTAAATGTCTGTATATTTGTAAACGTTGATTTTTGTAAGAAAAAATATTGTACATGAAAAAAAAACATAGTTGGGCTAAGTAAACGTTTAGTTGGCTGAACTAAATGTTAAGTTGATTTAACTAAACATAATATATGTAGTTGGCCAATGGCCCAACTATTTATTTAGTTATTCTAACAATAAATTTATCGTGTCTCTAAAATAATCATAATTTAAGTTGGTCCAACTACATATTTTTTCCGTGATAATAATAATATAAGTGTAAAATATTTGAATACAACGAATTGTAATGTTAATATTAACATACGTGTAAAATATTTAAATACAACGAATACTCGTACTATTCTAAATACACATTCTGTTATTAGAATATTTAATTTTGAATAGTGAACCAATTAAGTTCCATAAACCCAAAATTCATGTGCTCGTCAACTAATAAAGCAAAACCAATCTTTATTGATATTGAATATTAGATAGGTATTGCTAAATATTAAACGTACAATTAACAAAATTAAAGGTTGACTTAATAAAATGTTAACAGGTGATTTTCTGTTGAATATGAATATGTTTGGAAAAAATGATTCGTCTTAGAACAATAATTGTATAATTCAGATCTAATTTTAATGTTCAGATTTGAAGAATGTACTTTTACGCTAATACCTACTTCTCAGTTTCTCAGAAAATTATTTGTTTTCCTGGGACACATTTTCACAGGATACAAAATGAGTAAAGAAAGTGATAGGTTAGGTTACTGTATATTTAATAACTATTACATTTCAAGTACACAAATTGTAATTTACTCACGACTCACGATTAATGATTAATTTTTTTATTTCAGTCAGATTATTATTCTATTTTAAATTTGCCAACACTGTCAATTATGCCACTGTCCTGTGGTTTGCTCCTCCGGCGAATTAAGAATGGTGATGCGACGCCTGACGCGTTCTTCTTAGTAAAATGGTATGCGAATTACAATAAGCATGCGTGCACCGCATCCCACAGGCACCGCGCCGCCATCGCTTAGGTTGTAACATAATAGCCGAATGACTTGATGCGTGGCCGGTCCGCTGGGAGCGCGGGAGGCGCGTGTCAGTCAGTTTTCCACTACCCGGTTGGTTGGACAAGTAATTTCAATTTTTGCTCGCTGGGGAATGTAAACGTTGTCCCGAAACCAGTTGGCGTTTGTAAGCGTTGCTCATCGCACTGACGTACTCTTAATCGTTTCCCCCCTTAATTTTTCATTGCTCAGTCGTGTATAATAGTAATAATAAATAATCATAATGAATTTTAATATAAAAATCAATTTATAATTTGTGTGCGCGTGTGTTGACATAAATTCACATATTATAAAATCGTTTAACCGTGTGCACATTTGAGTATTAAGAATACCTAACCGTCGTTATCTTTTAGTCGACTTAATATTTTTTTTTATAATAATCTTTAATTTTTTTGAAAAATGTTATTCGAGTTTTCGTCGTCTATCGTGTGTTACATGACATTTACGTGTCGTCCATGCCAAATTTGGAATAACTAATAGACACACTGACGAACATGAAAAATAACGCCGTGAGTAAACACTAACCACCTAGTACTTAGTACCTAATTAGTGATTTTATAGATTTAAAAAAAAATGTAATACTTTTAAGCAGTCAACAATAGTTACAACACATAATTCAATAAGTGTCGGAACACATTTTGTTTAAAAAGAACGTCAATAACTTTTTGTTTACTAAAATTAAACAATTAGCACTCAGAGTTGCATTTTTATCCGTAATTTTTTTTCTCGTTTTTATCAACAAAAAAAAAACATTGTTTTCCACGCATTACAATGAAAATAAAGTGTTTTCTTTTAAATTAAGAACTCGACCAGAAACTAGGTTTTAACAATTTTTATAGTGTCGACTACCGAGCGTTGACATTGAAATGACGTCATATATCTACCTATCACGGAAAATTTCAAAACTAAAAGGCCAACATCGATCATTGTTTTACTATAACAAGGCTATTAGAAAATAAATTAATTTGCTAACAAATTCCTCGGTTAAAAACAAAAAGTGTTTTTCGCACTCGTGAATCACGTGCGCGCTTGCCCCCCCCCCCACCCTTATCACTCTTCAGAGTACATATTATTATTATTTATTATTATATTATAGTAATTCGATGATCGCCGAACGGTTACATTTCACAGAGTCTGTTACTGTAGTCGCCGACCGTCGTGGCAGTATATTGCAATAATAGCTCTTATGCGGTGCTATTGGGTTGACGTTGTGTTTGCTAATAGCCCATATAACATAATAGCATTGTGCCGAACGCGGTTACGTAATAAGTAATAACCTATAAAATATGGTCGGTTGAACTGGTTCAGCGATACGATTAGTAAAAAACAAAAAATCGTTTGTGTTGTACCGTAAAACGACCTAAAAATTATTGTCCAAGTTTTCCTCTTGCTTTGCTAAGTATTTTTTTTAAAACCACCAAACCCCCGCCCCCTCCCCCCGCCGTCGTGGTTATCCTGGCGCAAAATCAGGTAAACCGGCCATTGCATATGTTACCGGCATGTGTAACACGGTATACAAGTAGGTATTTATAGTTTGTTATGTTATATTATGTGTAATGCGTATGTGTTGTTATTGTTTTATCCGGCGGCAAAATGGGTATTTTGATCGCAAATGTATGTTATCTGCGAACCGCCTGGCGTTACGTAACGAAAAATTACTGTATAATACTGCGTTTATATAAACACAAGAACGATACTGTTACATGGCAATAAACTGAAAGGGCATTCTCACGCCTATTTATTAAGGGACAAAGTATGGGCAACTTTAAAAAAAAAAAAACTGATAAATACATTTCGATCATGTAAATTTGTTTTTAGGTTAATTTTTAAATTAATTCGTTTAAGCTTCAGCGCATTATTTTTAACGTATACGATTTGTACTATAAAGGAATGACTCTCATACCTCGTAGAGTAGTCCGATGACAATGATGGTTTTCCTTGGAAAGATGTAGATTTCCTACGGGTGTATTGGACTTGTATAATATTCAAATTTCAAACTCTCATTATAGCGTTTAGAAAAATAATTAAAAAAAAATCTAAATCCAATGCTGAGATGGCGGTATTTGATATTCGAAAACCGGTAATACAGTATTTAAAATATACTACCGGTAATACCGGTAACTACGGTATTTACCGAAAATTGGGTATTTGCGGTAATCTTTGTAATATTTGTAACTATTGCATAATTATATGTAATATAATATATAACACATTATACGTTGTATAATATATTATTATAAGAAATATAGGAATATCTTCCTCTTTTTAACAAATAAAAAACAAAAATCATTTTAATCGGACTACTTCTAAGACGTGTGAGAGATTTTTCCGTAACGCATTTTTTCAATCATTATAAACAAGTCGCACGCATACCTCTTACTGAGGTGCTGGGTAAAAAAGGGCTCACTGTCCTTAAGACTTGTAAGATCTCACAGATGTAATTAAATAAAAAAAAAATCACAAACAAAATCGTTTAGAACGGAATGGGCAAAACCCCGCGTATTTTTAGTTAATCTAATTAATGATTTTTGGTGTATACATGACTCCATATTTTTAATTACATACTAAACATTAGTTGGGCTGCAACAAAACAAGTTACCCTAAAATGTTTTATGCAGGGGTTTTAAATTTTGAAATTAATTCTTAAATATTTCTACGTGTAATTAAATACACATTTTTAGTCGGGCTATAGACACTATTGAATGTCAAGCTACCTAAGTCGTACCCCTACTAATTATTCAAGACACAAGTGACAACCCGTGACCCTAAAAACTAAACTAAGACACGAATCATGAATAAAAAGCTTTGGTTTTATATAATTAACGAGTAAAAACATTCTTTATCCTACTAGAAATAAGTATGATTTCATCCTGACATAAATCAGACGAATGATATTATAAAAAAAGTGGCGGGGTCAGCGCTGGTTTTGTGAAGAGCGAATACTAAGGTTTATTGTTTATAGTAACTCTGAAATTATTGTTTTCATAATGAAGTTAGAGAAATGTTTTTGTGAGTTTTGGTGTTACTTTATGTCAAACTAGATTCATTGCCATTTGTTTCGCAGTTTGAATACGATTTTGAGTATTATTAATTATAATTGATGGTTTTTAAATAAAAAAAATATTCGAATGGCAAGTAATTAAAAACGCGGGTTAATTTGATTTGATCAAACCATATGTTTTTTTTTCAAATCAGACCCAGTGATCTTACACCCGGAATAAAATATTTACTATCCAAGATCAAAGTTCAAACATATAATAAAAAAATATAAACACTTATTAATATAAAAAAAAAATGGCCGAATTTCAAGTTGACGAGTATCGAAGTATACCTACGTCAATATTTTTTATCCGTTCTGTACAATCACTATCTTTAGAAATAATTTAAATGTTATATTACCTGGTGCAATTAAATTTCAACGGATGTTACGGTCACGAATGACGTATGACATATCATGAATAGAAAAAAATATGAATTAATTCGCGAAAAAAAGATGTATAAACTATTTTAACACTCCGGGTGATTATGTTATGTAATCGTATAACATTCAACAACTTTAATTGACTTATTATCACATGGTTTTATAGTTATTTAATTCTAATGGCGAACCATTTAATTTGTAATTTGTATCATTATTTTTCGTATCTGATCGTTTTAAGGAGAATTAAAATAATATATTTTCTTAAAAAAAACATTAAAAAAAATCCAAACAGAAGTACTTTTAAAAGCTTAGGATATTTTAAGAATTATTATAATAATTTCTTCGGGTATAAGTTATTGCGGACGGTATAAACCGGCTAGGGTAAAATTGTAATACCAAAATGTCTTAATTAAGACTTATGCGTGTTATGGTTGTTTCCTAAATCATAATAGAAAATGTTTAAGTACAAATCTTAAAACCTTAACTTTTTTCATTAGCCGACTTGCATTTATGATTATATTGAATCCCAAGCGCAATAGGTCAAATAGTGAAATTCAACCTCTACCCCAAAAAATAGAGGCTAAAGTACTAAAACATCGAAAGTGTGCGGCTTTATTCGTGATAGATTTCGGTCTGTGAGTCATGTTTGAACATTACTAAATGTTTACGGCTTATTATAAAAGAGTTTAAAGGCATGCTAAAATTGTTTAGGCCATAAATGCAGTTTTCGAAATAATATATGTTTAATGTATTTTTATCGTATTTCGAAAACAGATATTTATTAAATTAAAAAATATTATAAATTAAATTGTTTTGTAGTGTCACGATACCTTTGGGACATAGCGCATAAGCAGTGGTGAGGAATGTCGTTGGCGCACGGTCGGTGATTATATAATAATATTACGTTATTGTATTTACCAAAATCTTTTTCAATGGCATTTTGATAAGAGTATAAGACAACTGAAGGTTACTACAGTTAGAACAACGGAAACTGACAAACATTTTTGTATCTTCTGTACTACAACAAAATATATATATATATATATATATATACATAATAATGTTATTATAGTATAACAACAAGTACTCCCGCCATCCCGTCACGGTTTGTTTCGGCTTTGGAATATACATATTATGCATGGGTATACGTTGATATTAATATTAATAATAGTCTATTGTCTTTGCGAGTGGGTTGTAAGTCTTGAACTGCTCATCGTCCGCAACGGTTTTGAACCCCTTTTGACCATCAGACAACAGTGTAACCATACACACGCCTATTGATGTCTCCGGCTCGGAAGTGGTTTAGTTTTTTTCACTCTTAAGGTTTTTTTTTTTTTAAATCTTTTTGGAAATTGTTATAACCAATGGGAGGTGGTATGACGTAAATGAATTGTAATACTAAATGTAACACATGTTATTTATACGTATATTAAATATATATATAATATACATATATTATTTTTGATTTTTAAATGTGTTTTGGTATCAATATATAACCCTGTGTTTTGGTTACCGCTTGTGAAGACTTGTCGCTGTTAAACCAGTTTTCGGTAGGAAGTCGGCGTGCGGGTTTTTGTGGGCAAATTTGATGGTAATATGCCGTTCATGGCAAAACAAAAGAACCTTGTACTTGAAGCGAATATAATATGTAGGATCGGCGAATGACGTTCAAAAATGTATTTACTCGTGCACCATAATTATTTTGATACACACGAGTCACGAGAAATAATAAAGTTAAAAAAAAAACAATTTATCAGTTAAAATCGAATAGAGAGGGAGAGAGAGAGAGAGAGAGAGAGATAAAGCTAAGCGCATTTATTTCGACTTGTCCAACGAAGAAGGACGTAACTCGATTTTTAAAACTTTTTAGTACAGCCGTTTAAAGTTTTCTAAGTTATATTCTAATATTGCATTTCAATTTTTCCGACCTCTTTGGAAGACATGAGCTACAAATCGTCTCTGTGGGAAATGAAATGCTATCTTAATATTTAATAAACCGAAAAATGATAAAAATCGAGTTACGGCCTAGAACGTTGGACACATTGATTTAAAGTACTCATATATATGGCCTATAAAGTATAGACTATT